CTGAGAATCAAATCAGCAATTTGGAACATGAGGAAACAAAAAACACCCAACCAGAAGAGCAAAAAGAAAAAAGAATCCAGAAATATGAAGATAGTATAAGGAGCCTCTGGGACAACTTCAAGAGGCCCAAAATTCATATTATTGGGATGCCAGAAGAGGAAGAAAGGGACCAATAAATTGAAAACCTACTTGAAAAAATAGTTACAGAAAATTTCCCCTACCTGGGGAAAGAAATAGACTTACAAGTTCGGGAAGCACAGAGGGTCCCAAACAAGAGGAACCCAAAGAGGCCCACAGCAAGACACATCATAATTAAAATGCCAAAGGTTAAAGACAAAGAGAGAATCTTAAAAGCAGCAAGAGAAAAGCAATTAGTTACCTACAAGGGAGCACCCATATGACTGTCAGCTGATTTCTCAACAGAAACCTTGCAGGCCAGAAGGGAGTGGCAAGAAATATTCAAAGTGATGAAAAACATGGAACTACAACCAAGATTGCTCTACCCAGCAAAGCTATCATTTAGAATTGAAGGTCAGATAAAAAGCTTCACAGATAAGAAAAAGCTAAAGGAGTTTATCACCACCAGACCAGCACTGCAGGAAAAGTTGAAGGGTCTTCTTTAAGAAGAAGTTAATGAACAAAAGAATCTGATGAACTAAATAGATCCAGAGACATTGATGCAGGCAACAGATGATCATATCTCAGAGGAAAGAGGGAAGGGGGTGGAAGGTGGGAAAAGATTAACCAAAGGAGTTACATGCCTGTGTGCATAACCTATGGACACAGTCAATAATGGGGTGAAGGCCTGGGGAGGGAGTGGGAGTGAAGTGGAGGGGGTCAATTGGCGGGGGGAAAAGGTACATCTGTAATACTCTCAACAATAAAGATAAATTTAAAAAAAAAAAAAAAGAGTGCTGATGTTGCTAAGGGCATGAACGTGCTCAAGAAACAACCATCGCAGGCAATTGAAGAGGTAGAAAAATTGTAGTTGATTTGGAAAAACGAAAAGTAATTAGCTGGTGATAGCATTTCAGAGGCAGTGATATGTGGAAAAGCAAAGAAGCTGCATGCTGACCTCCTGAAAGACACCCCTGGAATGAGTGCTGAAAGTGGTTTGTTTGAGACTAGTAGTGGGTGGTTTGATAAATTTAAGAAAAGAAGTGGCATTCATAGTGTAGTGAGGCATGGGGAGGCTGCCAGTTCTAACAAAGTAGCTGCTGGTAATTTTGTGACAGAATTTCAAGAATACATAGAAGCCGAGGGATTTGTTCCCCAAGTGTTCAGTTGTGTTGAGACAGACCTCTTCTGGAAGAAAATGCCAAGGAGGACTTACATCACATAGGAGGAAAAGTCTTTGCCAGGACACAAGCCAGTGAAGAACAGGCTGACCTTATTGTTGTGTGGGAATGCGAATGGGGACTTTAAATTGAAGCCACTACTGATCTACCATTTTGAAAACCCGTGAGTTTTCAAGAAAAATAATGTCATGAAAAACAAGTTGAATGTAATGTGAAGGGCTAATACATGGGTAACCAGGCAATTTTTTATTGAGTGGACTCATGAAGTGTTTGCCCCCAGTGTGAAGAAATACCCCCAGGAAAAACAACTACCTCTCAGGGCACTCCTTGTAATAGACAATGCTCCTGCCCACCCTCCAGGCTTGGAGGCTGAGTTAGTGGAAGAGTATAGCTTTATCACTCTTAGGTTCTTGCCACCTAACACAACTCCTCTCATCCAGCCCGTGGACCAGCAGGTCATTTCTCATTTTAAGAAACCCTACACAAAGGCATTATTTCAGAGGTGTTTTGAGGTGACCTCTGAAACTAATTTAACCCTCAGGGAGTCTGGAAGGAACATTCTAATATCCTCACTTGCTTGAGGCTGATAGACAACGCATGGGGGGAAGTATCTTCCAGAAACATGCAATCAGCCTGGAAGAAATTGTAGGTTGAGTCTGTTGCTGAAAGAGACTTGGAGGGCTTTGAAGATGAGCTTTTTCTGTTGTGGAGGATATTGTGTCTCTGGGCAAGTCCATGGGCTTGGAGGTGGGTGATGAGGAGGAGCTGGTGGAAGGCCACGACACCGAGCTGACCACTGAGGAAGACCTTCAGAAGAAGCAGCAACAGACGGCAGCCGAGGAGCTCTCTTCAGAGGAGGAGGGTGCAGAGGATATTCCTACTTTATTAATCAAGGAAATGCTTGGGAAATGGGAAGAAATGCAAAGTTTTATTAAGAAATATCACCCTGACAAAGAAGTAGCAAACTACGTGATAAGCTTGTTCGATGGCAATGCAGTGTTTCACTTCAGGCAACTCTTTTTTTTCTTTTTTTTAAATATATCTTTATTGATTTCAGAGAGAGGAAAGGAGAGGGACAGAGAGAGATAGAAACATCAATGATGAGAGAGTCATTGATCAAGCCCGCAACCCAGGTATGTGCCCTGACCAGGAATCGAACCCCGATCGCCTGGATCCTAGGTCCATGCTCAACCGCTGCGCCACGCCCGGCTGGGCCAGGCAACTCTTAAAATGCAGGCAAAACCAAACATCATTAGATAGGTTTTTAGTGAGACAGAGGCCCAGTGAACCTGAAGCAGGTTCTAGTGAAGCAAAGAGACAAGAGAGAGAAAGAACCTCCAAAGAACAGCTACCTGACATTTTTATGAAAGGGGACTCTCCTTCCAAAAAATAGCATCCTCCATCCCTCCATCCCTCCATCTCTCCTCTCCATAGTCAGTCATCAATAACTCTCAACATTAAAGGTAAGTTCTAGTGTGTACGTAAGTTTTCATTTTGTACCGTACACTTAATTTCCTTTTTGTTAAATTTTCACTTACATTTCATGTCCTTTTTGTTTTTAATGTGTTTGCTTATAGATTAAACATATATTAGACATGTACTGTATATAAGAAAGGTTAAAACGGAATCATTTGGGGGTCTGGAATGGATTCATTCAATTTACATTACTTCTAATGGGAAAAAATGATTCTGTTTTCGAACAAATCGATTCTCAAACAGCCTTCAGGGATGAATTAAGTTCAAGAACCAAAGTTCCACTGTATAGCTTACAAATTATTCTATAAAAAATAAATAGGCTCTGGCAGCTTAGGAACTGACTGTGTGCCAGGTCAGGATATGTTGTCGGGAAGGAAGGGGAGGGAGATGGATAGAGTGACTGGGAATAGGGGAAGTGAAAGTGTCTCCCATATAAAATAACCCACACACTCGAGGACCCCCCAGCTTGCAGCTGTCCACCTCACCCACAGCTCTGGCCTCCTACTCACCCTCTACCACAGCCATGGCTCAGTCACTGGCTCTGAGCCTTCTTTTCATGGTCCTGTCCTGCTGCATCCCCTGGACCCAAGGTATCAAGGAGCGAGCTGCCTAGGATGGGGGCTGGGGGCTGGAGAAGCCTGGCTGAGAGCCTATAAGTGGCCCCTGGCTCCCTGTGAACCCCACCCTGCAGGCAGTGATGGCGGGGCGCAGGACTGTTGCCTCAAGTACAGTGTAAGGAAGATTCCTGCCTCGCTTGTCCAAAGCTACCGGAAGCAGGAGCCAAGCTTGGGCTGCCCCATCCCGGCTATCCTGTGAGTGGGGGCAAGGGGGTGGATACAGCTGAGCGGGTTGGGCATGGTGGGCAAGACTAGGACAGGCTTGCTAATGCCCGGCTCTAGGTTCTCACCTCGGAAGCGCTCTCAGCGGGAACTGTGTGCAGACCCCAAGGAGGCCTGGGTGCAGCAGCTGATGCGGCATCTGGACACGCCACCGGCCACGCGGAAATCAGCCCAAAGCTGTAAGAAGGACAAGTCTGGCAATAAGGGAAAGGGCTCCAGAGGCTGTAAGAGGTAAGGAAGCTGAAGGGACAGGGGAGGGAAGTGAAGAAGAGCCTCTATCAGTCCTTCAAACCCCTCTTCTCCCCTCCCAGGACTGAACAGCCGCAGACCAAAAAGGCCACAGCCCAGTGACCAGCCTGGAGCCCAAGAGGCCCCCATCAGCCTCACCAGGGTTTGGAAACCCGGTCCAAGGGGCAAGAAGCGGGCTAGAAGAGAGGGAGGACTCAGGAGCCCCAGAGCAGCCCCTCCACCCCCATGCTGGCCTTGCCTCATCTCTTCTCCTGCTTCAACCATCCCTTTTGTATTCCCAGCCCCACCTGCATGGCTGAGCTGCGCACACCAGGCCAGGCCCAGAGAGGCAGTGGAAGGAGTGTGAGAGGAGGCAGCAGGACTGTTCCCTCTGAGGAAAGGTCACCCAGGACCCTGGACCTGACCCTGCTCCACACTGCACCCCGCCTCTTCCTTGTAAATATGATTTATACATAACTGAATAAAAAGCTGTTCTGGCCTCCTGCCCGAGTATCTTTTCCTGTGTGTTTCTGTCCATGGGGAAGCCAGTGTCACTAAGGGGTAGAGTCAAGAGCTCAGGTTGGTGAATTCTATGTTCTGCTATCCCAAGAGTTTGCTCTCAGGGGCCCAGACCTGTGAGCAGTAGAAGGGCAATTGACGGGTAGGGTGGGATCTGAGATGCTCCTGGTCTCTGAGAAATTCCTGCCAATGGAGAGATGGTGAACCCAGAGCACCACCCCCCCCCCC